GTTAGCCCCGGCTGCTAACGTCTGCTGCAGATGTGCTAACATTAACTTAAATTATGTATTAAATCAGTAAATGTTCCATATAGTGAAGCTTAAAGTATAATATTTTCGTCTCTAACGATCTTAAAATGTACTTTAATGGAACAACAGCAACGGAATAGAGACATTTTTTCCCCCCTGTGTGATTAGCAGATTTTATGTTTTGTATTTTCCCTTAAAGCGGACGTGTTTAACTTTGCAATCACATCTCTCTTCCTATTAAATCCATGAATGATGATCCTTTGACCATCAAACAAACGACCTCGTCCAATCAGGACCTTCCAGGACAGTTAGGGTCTGTTTAGTAGTGGCCATTAGGCTTTCTGTGGCTCTGCCAGCAGGTGGCGCCATTCGGCTCCTGGGGCTGGAATCTAAACCTCATCAGGACAAACGCTTGGAGTTTATGACCTGATTGTATCAGGATCAGAGAATAATAACATCAATCTGAGTCCTCAAACCATTTTTTCGGCTCATCGCAGGAAATTAATCAAAGCGGCTCTCTTCGTTGCATCTGTCGTCGTGCACAGTAAACCGTCTGCACGCGCTTCGCTAGACGCGTTGATGCCCATTTTAAAACTTAAGTTCCTGTAAAACACGGTGACATCAAAGCCAAAGTGATGCTGGGGGGTTGGATGTGAAACTCACCCTGACGGCTGTGAATTCTCTCCAGCACCAGACAAACAGAGGCGAGAGGCCCGACACGATCAGGACGCTGGTGAAGCGCCTCTTTATCACCGCAGGATGATCCCTGCAGACAGAGAGAGAACGTCATGGCGCCAGCTGACCACCGGGGGCATCGTTAGACAGGCAGTCCTATAAACAGGTGATCAGCTCTATGACCTCTAACCGTGACCGCCGTCAGCAGACCTTCATCTCTCCTCCTCATCCTCACTAATGCCTCTCAGTTTCTGCTCCGTTTTACGTCCTTCACATTCTTACAGCGGAAAAACGTTTTAGAAAAACTTTTTCTTTTTTTACCTGCTTAAAAATGTTAAAAGTATCGATGGATTTATTTGAAAAAAAAAAAAATTTCAAAATAAAAAATAACATTTCAAATTTGTTACAAAAAAAATGAAATTTAAACAAATTATAAGGAATCTGAAAAAAAAAATTAAAATTAGAATATCCATTATTTAGCTTCAGAGACATTTCTATTTCCCACGGCTCCTGAATGCAGCAGCTGGGTGTACATTATAGAGGCCCCTAAAGTGTCAGTCATCCTCCCCTGTTATCTAAGCCCCGCCCCCACACTGAGGGACCACAGAAACCTAAAAAAAACAAAAACATTTTGAAACAATTATTGTTTTGCTTTTCATTTTCTTTCTTTGATTAAAATTTTTTCAGTTTTCTTTTTTTATTTCTGGTTATAATTGGTTTTCAATTAAAAAAATTATATTCATATTCCTTCTTTGCCCTTTTTTTTTTAACTTTTTTTCACACTTTAAACATAATTTTCAGCTTTAACTGATTTAAATGATTTTCAGTTTCAATTTTATTCAAAGTTCTAAATTAAAAGTTTTTGACAAAACTTTACGGCTCCACTTTAGCTCCATACAACAAATGCTATGTTTAGTTTTTTTCTTTAATAATCAAAAGATGTTTATTTTTGTTTATTTCAGACTGAAGAATCGGAATCAGCAGCAAATGTTGGGGATGATTTAGACTGAAGTCAAAATAAGAAAATAATGATAAAAAAAAAAAAAACGAAATCTGTTTCAGTAGAAAAACCCAAAACATGCAGATTTATAGAATTTCCTTCTTTATATATTTTTTATGATGAATATTATTGATGATGATGATGATGATGATGATGATGATGATGATGATGAAGGTACAGCTGTTAGTGGTGGGACTGACTGATGGACGTCTGGCTAACAGGAAGTAGCTGAAGACGAAGACCAGGGTCTGAAATGTCTGAATTAAACTTTAACTGAATTTAATCCAGAGGAATGAGGGACAAAGCTATGGGGAGAAATTTAATCCAAAGTTTCTGAAAACAAAGAAAAGGTTCCACTGAAAATGGACATTAAAAAAACAAAAAAAATGACGTGATGGTAATTTACTGTGTATAAAAAAGTTCAGCTAATATTTTATAGGTTTTCTTTTTCTTTCGTTTTCTTGGGGAGACTCAGCTGTTTGAATTTCATTCTTTTCAAATCTGGTTTTTACAACTATTACCCAAAATATCCTACATATTCCATTAACTTCTAACTAAAACAGGATTACTACAGGTCCGTTTCCAGACCAATAGAAATTAGTCTGCTCTATTCCTTTGGTCTGCGCAAATAATATGGAGAGAAAAGCAAACTGCAGAAATACTAAATAGATTTTATACACACATTATTATGACAACGTTTTAGGTCTGTTCAAAGACGGGGAAAAAATAAGGAATGTACATTTTTGAGTCTAATGAGAGCATTTTTACCAGAATAAACTTGCAAATTTACGATTTAAAATGAAAAAATTTACCAAATTAAAACATACAAATGTAGGTGAAAAAGTAGCAAATTGATCAGAAATAAATATGCAAATTTAGGAGAAAAAATTAGCAAATTTGCGCGATTTAAATATGTAGATTAGTGGAAGAATGCAAGTTTATAATACACGTTACAGTACGCTGCATAAAGCACATGGCTTAAATGAGACGTATAATGGCCTCATGGACGTTTGTAACGTTAAATGATACAATAAATTTGCATCTTTATGAACTTTTGTACAGTTGCATTTTCTCTTCTGATTTTTCCTATTTAATCTCCTACATGTCTTGCTTGTTTACTTCTACATGTGCATCTTTATTATCTTGTAAATGTGTTTTCACTCATAAATATGCCTGTTTATTGCGGTAAATATAACTTTAAACTCAAAAATCGTACCTAATACGCTGTCGCACATTAAAAAGCACATAACTTTTTATATATGTAGAGAAATTTTACATTGTTTAAATACAATTTCTGCGTTTTTTAAAACGCGCTTCCAGCTTTTAATATTGGAACAAATTTCTCTCCATATAAACCGGTTTTTCCAGATTTTATTTCCTCCATCCAAAGTGAGGCTAAAATAAAGGCTGGAAACTAAAACATAAATAAAGTTTGTTAGAGCAGAGGTTGTAGAAAGAGAAATAAAGGTTTTGAATGTTTAATCTGACCTGGGCAGGTCGCTCCTCCACACATACAGGCTGCCAACATAGGAGCAGGCGAGCAGCAGGCAGGACAGCACCGACAGCCAGCACAGGCCGCCTCCAGCCGCCTCCAGCCGCCCCGTCAGACCGCCGCCCTCCTCCGCCATGATGGCTCACTGAGCTGAAGAAGGAGCTGACCGCTGGACCATCGGACGCGGACAGACATCAGCAGGAGAACCGGTCCTACCTCTGCTCTACCTGCTGCCGAGCGGCGCTTCCTGACTGCGTCATCATTAGCCGCCTCTCATGGAACCACCGGCAGAGGTAAACACTGCCCCCTACCGGACCGGAGTTTACACTTAATAAATAGCCTAATAATCAGTCTAATCCTTATTTTTGGTTAATTTTATCTTCATGAATGTAAAATTTCATCATCTTCACCTTTTTTTTTTTACAGTTTTGATGAAAAAAAAACAACTTTATTTACAAATTTAAAGAGTAAAAAAAAAGGCTGTAAGCACATTGAATGTAGATTATTGAATATTTTTATATTTGTCATTTCTGTAACATCAGTTTTATTGTTTTTCTTTTTTGGTTTTGTTATTTTTATCTTTTTGTATCAATGCACTCTGTAGAAATATATAATCCTGGAATACTTGAATATTTTGCGGCCTCTCCCTTGCTTTTTCTTTTCTTTGTCTTTTTATATATATATATATATATAGTTTTATTATATAGTTTATTATATAGTTTTATTATTCTTCTCTTTATTATTTTTTATTATTCTATCATTCTTCAGCTTGTTGGTCAGGAGTAAACATGACACTCTGCAGGGGCAGCTGTTTGGTGTATGGCAGGTCATATTGTCATAAAAACAACATAAACTCACTTTGCAGCCAAACATGGAGCCATTAGAAGAAAGTTAGACGGTTCAACATGTCGTCTGCCAGCTGTTTGGATCCTCTGACTGTGTTTAGAAGAACCTGTTAAACGTTTACATTTTAATCCAGATATCAGAATATTGTGATGAAATCTACCTGAACTCAGGTCACATCTGAGGAGGCGGATCTATGTCAGTAGAAACATGGGGTTCACTGAGTGCTGCTTTAGGTGGAAAAATCTAATATTCATGGTGACATGAACGGATTCCACTGGCGGGTGTCATTCATTAATTCATTCATTCAGTCATTCATTCATGTATTTGTTTATTCATGAATTCATCTGTTAATTAGCTAATTTGCTTGTTAATTCATTCATTTGTTCATTTATTTATTCACTTTTTTCATTCATTAATTCTTTCATTCATTCATTCGTTTGTCTAATTTCTCTATTCATTCATTCAGTTATTTGTTTATTCATTCATTTGTTCATTCAATCCTCCGTTAATTAGTTCATTCATTCGTTCTTTAATTCATTTATTTATTCACTTGTTCATTCTTTTATTGATTTATTCATTCATTTGTTCGTTAATTTGTTTATTTGTTCATTTATTTATTCATTTGTTCATTCTTTTATTCATTAATTTGTTCATTAATTCGTTTATTTGTTCATTTATTTATTCATTTGTTCATTCTTTTATTCATTCATTCAGTTTTATTTGTTTATTCATTCATTTGTTAATTCAGTCATCCGTTAATTCATTCATTCATTCATTTGTTTGTTAATTTATTTATTTGTTCATTTATTCCTTCATTTGTTCATTCATTCATTCTAGTCCCACTGAGGAGCCTCACTTCAATTCAATGGTTTCATTTTCAGCTGATTTTATTTGTAGTTTATTTTATTCTGAATCATTTATTTCTCTATAAATGTGTGATAAACCTTGGAAGCTCCTGATTGGTCGTCCTCTCTGTGGAATCCACAATCACAGCTCAGATTTCCACATTTAAAGCCAGTTTGGAAACTTTAACATTAATAAAAAACATCAACAGCAGAAAACAAACCAAATATCGATGCAGATGGATTATTTATCTTTATTAAACCTTAATTTCAGAAGCAAACCTATTTAACCCAGTTACAGAAATTAATGACTTTATTGCAAACATGCAAAAAGAATCCTGGAAACAATTAAACCTTAAACAGTAGAAGGTAAAAAAAATAAATCAGTTATTATCGAACATACAGAGACTTTATTTTAATAAGTGAGAATAAATCAGAACATTACAAGAATAGAGTCCTAAGACCAGGAAAGTACAGTAATAACATTATGAGAATAAAGTCTAAATAAAATAAAAGTAAAGTCATTATGTTATAAGACAAAACGAATGAATGAAGATCATCCAAACTACAGCTGGAGATAAAAATGATCCTCTTCATTAAGCTGCTATTATTCTGGTTTTATACAACTTTACTTTTTCCTGGAGTTTTTACGTCTTTAATCTCCTGATGTCAACATTTCCGTCTGTTAATGTTTTATTTTAAAATGTTTCAGCTGCTTTTCTGGTAGTTTTAGCACATTTCTCTCATTTTTTTATTTATTCCTGCAAATTATCATTTATTCTCATCATTTCTGGACTTTTTTATCGTAACATTATAACTTTCCTTCGCAAAGCTATGATTTTATTTTCATTCACAGAATTTTATGACTTTATTTAGGTAATTTAACGACTTTAATCCAGCCATGTTATGATTTATTATCCTAGATTTATCTTAGATTATTTTCAAATTCCTATAACTTTAGTAACGCCTCCTCAGATCCTGGTTTATTGTGTGATTTTAAATGTTACATTGCTGGCTGTGCTGAATGGGAGGAAATGCTAAACAGCAATTTACATTGACCAGTGGGGTGGCCAGTGGGGTGACCAGTGGGGTGACCAGTGGGGTGACCAGTGGGGTGACCACCCCCTGGTTGCCCAACTGATTTTAAATGGCTACGACAGCCATATCATGCATATTGCTTTAGGTTAATAGACTATATTTATTAGGCTATATATTACAGCTAGATTACTGCCTTTGACCTAGTTATTTAAAAAGCTTTGTGAGTTGCTTCCTGCATGGCCGTCTGCTCTGTTCTCTCCTCTGCTGGGTTCCATGTTTCTTACAATCCTCTAACTTGACCCAGAAAGGATGAACAGAACCAGTCGGAGTGAAGCCGGTCCTATATGGTGATGCTGTTCTCTACGCGGCTCGGCAGGAGGAAAAGGTACTGAAGGTCCAGTCCTGCGTTCTGATCCAGGATCTGCTCCTCAATCTCCTTCAGCTTCATTCTGAACTTTTCAATCAGCTCCATGGCGGTCGGCTCGGTGAAATGCTCCTCTGCATACTGGCCCAGAGGAATCTATGCAGGAGGAAACCACTGGCAGTTAAAGAGGAACGGGTTCAAATCATATAAAAGCTCAGAGCTGCATCTTTTTCATTAAAAAGCTTGTTTTCTCAAATGATTCACCCAAAGAACAACTAAACTGGAGCAGAATAAAAGTGTTTACTGAAAACAATGACGGCAGTGGCCAATAGAGGGCGTCGCCCCACTCACCTAATGACCTTGATTAAGACATAAAAAACAAATAAACTTCAATTATAAAATTTAAATATTTCCAAATATATTAATTGTTAAAAGTCTGTCTGTTTGTTTAGCCCCTTATTACCCATGATGCATCTGCTCATATTGTAGTTCCAATTTCACGTAGCTTAGCAAGTTGTTTTTCTGTGTTTCTGGGTGGCATAAAATTAGCATCCACCATTAATCCTTCCTTAATAACAATAGAGGATTAGGGTCACTGAAAAAATAAAAAAGTTAACTGAATTTTTAATTTTACTTCAGTATAAAATGAGAAAAAAGTCAGAATTTTGACTTTAATAACAGGATTTTGGATCTTAATGTAGATGAGCAGCATGAAGGCAGAGATGTGGGAGCGCCGAGCTTCACTGACAAATGATCCGGTACGGCGCGCTGAACTCTGACTAACTCTGCTCCTCCAGCTGTGCTTGTGCAGAAATGCGTCTTTGCGCAGCTTAGCTTAGAGTCTGCTCCACTCTGATGGTTCGCTCTCAGAAGTACGGCTCTTTTTGCTCTCGCTACTTAATAAACTAGATGTGGCTGATCATCCTCTGCCAAGCGTAAGACAACATCTTTGTCTATCAAGATTTATTTCTTCCAGCTCACAAGATGTGATGCTAAACATTCTTTAATTTCTACCAAAAGGAATCCCTAAATTATACCCAAAGCAAATAATTCATTGAATTCTCTTTATTTCTGAATAAGACCCAGATGTAAAGGTTCATAGATGTTTGAATATTTCTCTGTCATTGTTCTCGTTCCTGTCTATCTAAATATAAGGTAAATGTTTCCTTCTATTGTCATTAAAACATTTTCTATGTTAACTTTAAATATTTTAACATTTCATTTAGCATATTCATTCAGTTTAGGCATAACGAGGCAATTATGGAGGTTCTTTCTGTTTATTTTATTTCAAACCCTGAATTTAAATCTACTTTGACCCCTGAGCATCAGTAACTGAGGGGTAAAGTAAAGAAATAAAGCCAAAATTACCAAAATAGAAAGAATGTTTTTGTTCTTTGCTTTTTTGCAGTAATGCAGATTTTATAGATCTGTGTTTAATGCAGAATTCACAGTAGATCAGGAAGTGTTTGCTTTGGGATGGAAACCTTGGATGTCTAAAATCATTCCTTTATTGGACATTTTGTTAGCTTGTCTGCTATATTAACCAATAGGATGTGTTCAACTAGATCTGCTATTTTCACAGCTTTTTCATAAAGTAGAGCATTAATTCACAAAAAAAGTTTATTTGAATTCTATAAATCAACGTTTTCTGCCCAACAGCAATGATTAACTAGACGGCAGCATTCTATACCCAGCTACTGTAGCATCTAGGAAAGACCTGTCAGTCTGGGAAAGAGTCTGGTTATTATTCCAAATTATAAACTTTTTTTGCAACATAAAACTCAATAAAACCTCTTTTAACTTTATGTCGACTAAAACCAACTAAAACTATCTCATATAGTGATGAGAAAATGTGACTAAAACTAAAAATAGTTTTCATCCTGAAGACCAAGACTAAATCTAAGATGGCTGCCAAAAACAACACTGGAGACAGGAGGATTTCAAAGACTTTTAAAACCTCTCCTTTGTTTAAATTCTCTGAAATGTTTTTAATGATTCTCACACTAATAATGAAAAGTACAGCAAAACCAAATTTAAAATGATTGGCAGCCATGTTTTTATCGTTTATCATTTCAATCCAATTCTATTCGGTTTGTTTCTATAACTCCAATTCACATCATGCCATCTCAGGTCACTTTAAAGAGACAAATCAACCAGATCATCCAGTCAATGTTAAAGTAGAAATAGATCATTTCTTTCTCTCTAGAAAAGAAGAAAAATTCATCTGACTGAAAACTTGGTTGTCTGATTTTTAGGGCGTTTAAAGTTTAAGAGTTTAAGAGACATGATTTATGTCTAAACGACGTCTACGTTGAAAGTTGAAAGGTAAAAGCCGTAACATTCAGGTCGTTATAAAGACGTTAAAAACTGGGTTTGTAGCGTCTTTTAGTGGACTAAAGCGGGACAAAGGCAGAATTATTTTGGACTTAATCCAGACTACGATAGAGCGACCAGATTTAGCCTAAAAACCAACGTCTGAATGGCGTCTGCTGTTTGGGGGATACACTGAAAAAACGATCTAGAAATAAGCAAAAATGTCTTAAATTGTATGTATTTACCCTTAATTTGAGTAGGTAAATGAGATAGTTTGCCAATGGAATTAGTATTTTTATTCTTAGAATAAGATAATTGGATAAAATGCACTTGAAATAAAACAATTCAATTGTGTTTTCTTATTTCAAGTGTAAATTTTCTGGTTCCATAGGCAAAATGTCTCTTTTACCTCCTCAATCCAAGAAAAAATGCACTTATTTTAAGAATAAATGACTTATCTAGATCTGGATTCTTTCCAGTGTAATGAGTGAAATCAGACTCACTGCATCCGGTTGGGCTCGTCCCAGATGCCATGTGATGGCCATCTGCACACAGGACTGGCCCACATCCGGCAGGGTGGCCATGATCATCTCCATGGTGATGGCGTCTTTGTCTGATGGTGGGGGGAGCCTCATGGTGCAGGGGGTGTTGGGAACCCAGGCGCACCAGTCGAACTGAAGACAAGGAAAACAGTGGCTGTAGTGGAGGCTGCAGACAGAGCGGCTGTTTGAGTTTCCGTCCATCGGTGACGGTTCTGTACGGAGTTAGATTAGTCTCCGTTTTCACAAATACTCACATGTGATCCATAAATGCACAGAACAACATTCACCAGAGGATTTCTGGTACCAGTGGTCATTAAACTTCTCTGCATTTGTGCGTGGAGTTTTGACGTGCCTCGTTACACAAATGCATTTTTAAGCAGGGGATGGTTTGCAACCAATCACAGAGCTCCCTTGTATTAGCCAATCACAAGAAAGCAAACCACGTGGGATGACTTAGCCCCAGATTCCACATCCTCCTCTCCTCCCCGCTCACGTGCATTGTGCAGAGCACGGCTGCTCCTCTGCACGTCGCCGTCCTCGTACGTCTTTGTTAGGTTTATTCAATGATGATTATAAAATGAATGTTTGTTCATATGAAACATTGTAGAAATGAGATGCTTCACTCCGTCTTATTATTCAGTCAGGAGCCCATCCTGCCTTGTGATTCTGGTGGAGCGTCCAGTCTTTATGAACTGATCAATTGTTCTGTCAG